CCACATGAAACCCTAAAGGAGTGAAGCCTGAAGCAAAACCCAAAAGAACTAAAGAAGTGAAGGCCTAAGCCCCTCTCCATTGAAGCCCTAAGTCCAACCCAAAAACATCCTAAAGAAGCAAAGCCCCTAAGGCAAACCAGAGAAACCGTAAAAGAGCGAAGCCCGGAGCAAAACCAAAAGAGACCCTAAAGAAGTGAAGCTCCCAGTCTGCCCCAAAGCTCCGCGGCTCACTTTTAGAGGAAGTCTCGTACGATACGCTTGTTCTGGAGACTTCCGCGGCTCCCCTTGGAAAGAAGTCTCGTGCGAAACGCGCTCTCTCTCTCTCTCTCTGTCTCTCTCTCTCTAGACTTGCGCGGCTCACTTTTGAAGGAAGTCTCGTACAAAACGCTCGTTCTGGAGACTTCCGCGGCTCACTTTTGAAGGAAGTCTCGCACAAAACGCTCGTTCTGGAGACTTCCGCGGCTCACTTTTGGAGGAAGTCTCGTACGATACGCTCGTTCTGGAGACTTCCGCGGCTCACTTTTGGAGGAAGTCTCGTACGAAACACTCATTTTCACTGGCAAATGCTACCTTCGAAGCACTACCGAATGATGCGTGTTCCAAAATGAGCCGCGAAATTGGTCTCACGCTGCAGTCCCGGAGAGTTTTCTTTTCGTCTGGGTTCCAAAATGAGCCAGGTTCTAAAATGAGCCGTTTCTAGGTTCCAAAATGAGCCGTGTACCAGAACAGAAACAGACAACTCAGAACCCACAAGAAGCTCAGGAGTTGTCGGAAGCTGAGATAGCTGGAACACCTTTTTGAACCGAAAGAATCTCTATATATAGATAGATAGAACAATTAGAATCAGAACACTTGATGCAACTTCTTTCCTGCTAAGAGTCTCAATCCTTGAAACCCCCATGCACAGGGCATATAGATCAAAACACATAAAAGGAGCATCAAACAAAATAAAAAGATGATCAAGCAAAGAATGATTAACACATATATTCCTGGATAGGCCTCTTCTGCTGCTATCCTGGCCCTGTGGTCTGTGGGTCCTCTGGTCCTCTGGTCCTTTAGTCCACTGGTCCTTTGGTCCCCTGGTCCCTTGGTCCTTTGGTCCTCTGGTCCACAGGCCCTTTGGCCCCTTGGTCCTTTGGTCCTGGTCCGGTCCCGTGGTCTCCTGGTCCTTTGCCCTCCTGGTTCTTTGGTCTGCGGGTTTCCTATGTTTTTCTCCGTGTTCTTTCACTGATGCTTTTTGATGCCTTTGGTCCTTTCTCTTGTAGCTTATTGGCCGCAGTTTTCCTGCAAACGTCAATGCTTTTGGCTTCGGTTGCCTTAGGTCCTTTTGTGCACTTTTAGATGCCCTTCACTGAAAGGACGATAGGGTACATAATTTCTATATAGTGATTTCTTTTGTGGTGCTGTGTTTTAATGTTTGGTTCGCTTTGGGGGGGGAGGCGCTGCGCCCTCCCCCCCAACCTCCCTCCAGCACCACGAAATCTGCACTCTTGCACTCCGCCTGCCACGAAAACTAACTATGTACAGTAAAGGGTCGCCCATCGCACTTTGCAGACCACATATTGCACGTCGTCTAAGTCTCTTTGATAACTTGTTGCACATATCCTTTCATTGTCTGCTCCTGTTGATCTTGAAGCAGAGGCTTTTGAGCCGATGCTCAACCCCAACCATCACAGTGGGCTGGAATATGACTTTGATTCCCTTTTTATTTCTATTTTGATCCCCGTTGAATATTTTTTTAAAAAGATATTTTTACTTTTTTTTGATCCCTTACCCCATGCACAGCGTAACTTGGCTGGCAGGCTTTAGGGGGTTCTCATGGTTTCTGGCTGCCAGGGCCGTGCCCATGCCATACGGTGCCGCGCTGTGCCACAGGCGTGGAAGATGCCAAGAAACACGCCCGTACAGAAGTACAGAAGGAACGATCACTTGGGACCGCTAACGTTTGGCGGTCGATGCCGAAGATTCTGGCCACTCTCCCAGAGCAACATCCTAACAGCCTCAAGCCCCTGATCTTGGATTGGACATCGCGCAATGCGAGGTGACTCTCTTTACCAAGCCTGGTTGCACTCTTTGCGACAAGGCGTGCCGCCAGGAGGGGTGGGGACCTTCTTGAACAACCTTAGCTGCCTTAGCTCCAGCTTTGGCGGAGCTCCGAACAACCATGCGTTCGCACAGGTCTTCAAAGAAGATGGAGCCATCAGAGGTTGAAGGACCCGAACTAGACTATCCCAGTTGGGTACCTGAGTAGGGTCCTAGCCTAACCTCTCTTCCAGATTCTTGGAGGGTCCCCGATAAGACGAACCTCACACACCTAAGCCTTTCACAGCCACAGAAAAAACTTCGTGGTGCGAATGGAGCAGTTTTTTTATGCGGTATACGGCATGCAATCCTGCGGTGCTTGAAAATAACCACCCATGATAGTTAATCTGGGTCGGTGATATTTTTAACATGTATGAAGAGTTCGAAGCTGTATTTATCACTATGCAACCAAAGAATTCGATCTATATAAGTTACTCTAGAATCAGCCACTGTTGAGACAAAGATTCGACCATTCTGGACTTCTTATAGACCGCATGTCGCCAGACCATGGTCGCGGACTGCTGGCAGGCATGAACGATGATGTGCGAGGTAGGTTTCGGTCAAACCAGCAGAGGTTGAAGAACCCGAACTAGACTATCCCAGTTGGGTACCCCTGGTGACGGGTCCTAGCCTATACGGTCACTGGCTACCTCTATAGGAATGCTTGGCCCGTTCGCCACCCCATGGACATCGAGGGTTCGGGGCACCTGGTGCGACCCGTTCGGGGCGACCTCGAACGACGAGCTGCGCTGCGAAGGCACTGGCGAAGCTGAAAGAGACCTCACAGCCCTTTGAGCATCTCAGAATCGAAGGTGATGGTGATGGGTCAGGGCAGGGGATGGCCGCAGCTGATTTCTTTTCTGGGTCTCAGGTGTTCTTTCTTTCGCCGAAGCTAAATCGATGATGGATGTGGGTGACATGGGTGGTGGTGACCTAGATCCAGCAAACGGTATCTAGGCTGAACGCGGTCTCTTTGTGGCCGAGGAGTGCATAGAAGGTGTGGCACAGAAGTGTTTGGAAGAGAAGTGCTTCTTTATTTCTCGATGGTTTTGGCACGAGTCACCCTCCGGAAACTGAACATCTAAACACGGTCGCCACCGAAGAAAATGCCTAGGATGGTGATGTTCATGCACCTGGAGTCACCCCCCAAAAAGACCGTTCACTACAAGTCACTTCAGCGGCCAGTGAGGGGTCCAGACCATCCATCAGAGGTTGAAGGACCCTATCCCAGTTGGGTACCCCAGTATATATAGGGTCCGATTTACGGTCACTCAACCTCTCTTGGATGGAGCATCACTCAGGCTGTCCACCGTGAATATCGAAGCGCCGGGGAACGAGCAGTGGAACGCCAGGCCCGGGGGTCCAAGGGGTCCGGGTCCGGCCGCCCCAGGTCGACGCGATTCGCACCGCCGGGGGCGGTGAAACAGAAGACGGGTCGTGCTGGGTCAGACCGACAGGCACGATCGATTCGGTGGGACGGACCGGACGTCCCAAACGGTTTGGGTCTTTTGGTGGACTGGACACGTATACTTCTTGGGAAGGGCATGGATGCGGCTGGATTCCCAGCTTTTGCCAAGGAATCCTTTAGAATGGCAGAGCTCATGTTTTTTCTCTCTTGAAGTAAAAGGGGTGCATACTCAAGACTCCCGCCACAGCACTACCTTACATTCATGGAAGTGGAACATGGCCCGTTGGATGACCATCTTCCACTACAAACAGGTGGTTTCTACTTCTGTGATTCTTTCAGGGAGTGTACAAAGAAGATGAAACCTGGCTGGTGCTGACAGCACCTGCCATATGTGTGGCATGTAAAGGCCGGAAAGCAAGCCCTGCTGTTGAAGGAAGACACTCTTCCATCGGTACATTTCACCAGGTTGCCGTATTTCTTCCTTCAACCAGAGCCCCAAATTCCCACAGCTCGGAGAGGGTGACCAGGAAGGGCTGAGGGCAGATGTTGCACCAAGTGTCAGGCTCGGCTCCTCGGTTGCACCTTCCTTTGATGCATTTCAGATCCTTTGACCTACTTCCATGTTCCACAGCTTTCCCACATCCCATGTGGCGGCGATTGACGAATCACGGCCGTGAGAACCAACGCGGAAACTCGCAGGGCGTTTTGGAGTTCGAGTCTTGTAGACTCATTGCAGAATATTGCAGAATATGAACCAACCCCCCCGGTCTCCAGAATAGTTTTAAATCTCCGCAGGGTTGGGATTTGAGCTTCATCAACAGTCTACCAGCACCATCCTGTTTTGGGCTACCCTACACTACTTTGATTGCCACAACCAGGTCTCGGGATGGTGTAGATGACTGGCGGTTCTTTCGGGCGGTTCTTTTGTTCATCAGACCCTTGATTCAACCGGCCTGGAGAGTTTCTACCCACATGGGGGGGGGGGGTATTCATCGGCAAAATGAGCCAGTTCTTACCATACCCATCCATACCCAGATCACCCAGGTTTCACCATGCACCGTTGCTTGCGCGCCGATGCTGGCTTTAGATGTCGAGGCCGGTGAGTGCCTTCGTCTTTCCCGGTCGCACGGATCATGTCGAGCCTTCCTTGCTGATTTGCCGCAACCTCGTCTCCCTGGGATGGCAGATCGAATACGTTTGTGAAGAACGCTATGAGGAACAGATCCGGGACGCGGGGGCAGCCTTCCATGACATCGAGGAGAGGTGAAAGAGGTCTTCGGCCGATGTCTGAGAGGAATGGACCATGTGGTGTTGAGGAAACTGAGCAACGGTTCGAGGAGGTTGGATGGTATGAATATATGGTTGCTATAGAACTATTATACATGTATATAATTGAGACAGCTGGCCATAGATTGCTCCCTCATCCTTCCTATTTTCCTCATTTTTGTGTTGCCAGGTTTCCTCCTTCAGAAGTCCTGAAGATTCGGCAACTTTTCCAGTGACACCTCAATAGCTATCAGGCTATGACCCTCAGTTAGCTGAGCATTGGCAAAACAAATGGAACAATCCCAAGGGATCTTCAGTAGAATCCCAACAAATCTCCAGCAATCCCAAGGGATCTTCAGTAGACACCCACAAGCAACGATGTTGTGGGCCAGAAATTGAAGACCCAGAGGGTGGAGGGGTCCATATATAATAAGTTCAAGGATCGCTTTGACTGTCAGATGTGGACATACTGACAGTCATTTTGCTGTTGAGAAACGTGACGTTTTTTTCAGCAACGCTTCCGTCATTCTCCCCAATGGATCCTCCTTTTTCCATGGACTAAGTCAGACGAAGGCTGGTGGAATCGAGTTCACAAGGTAGTCTCACCATGTGCTTTCGATAAGATCTTTCAAAAGATCGTACCTAGACCTAGACGGATGCTTTCTTTCGTCTGCTCCCAGACGAAAGAATCGCTTTCTAGGTACAAGTGACTCGAAGGGGAACTTTCTTTACTTCATGCAGTCTTTGGCTTTTTCAAAGTTCCATCAGTCTGGGTTCATCTGGATTCAGCTGTGGCTTGGCAGTTCATCTGCTTGGAGCAGTCCCACTCAGAGTTTTCATCAGTTTGCTCCAACGCTTCGTGCAAAACAAGTGATGTGGGACGCTGGTTTGACCCTCAAGAAGGGTTGGATGACAAGAAGAGCCTGCAAACGAGTCATCCACTTGAGGATTGCTCCATGATCCCCCAAAATCTCAGAAAAGGTGGAAAGCCAGGACCTTCGAAGTGACCTCTTTTGGAGACTCTGAGTGACCCTTTACGAGCCTAAGTGACCTCATTCTGGGATCTCAAGAGGTCACTTCGAAGGTCCTGGAGGATATTGTTCACCGGCTGCCGGGCTGCCAGGCTCCTTCTTCCCAAAGCCCCACTTACGCAAGCGTTTTTTCTACATGTTTGGGGCCTTTGGGCTGGTGCTATAGATGAAACGCATTGAAAAAACCCTCACGTACTTGGCAGATCTTCTGTCCAGATCCGTCCAGATCTTCTGTCGCCGCTTTTCGTCCAACGCCTCTGAAAAGAGGATCTTTGTACAGCTCATGGCCTGGACTTGAAAAGGATCCACGAGGACTATGAGGATCCAACTGCCACCTGGTCGGCGCAGTTTGGAAGCATTGCCACTGAGAGGCTGATTCCAGTCTTCAAGGACTTCTTCAAAACTCTTTCGCCCAAGGCCCCGGGGGGCCGATGTGAGTCGCTGTGAGTCGATGTGACACAGACGTCCGACGTCCCAGGCCGATCAAACGCGACGGCCAAGGAGCGTTTTCAAAGCTCTGAAACGTGTGGGTCGTTACTCAGCAACACGAAAGGTATCTGATGCATCCACCGGAACCGCAAATGACCATGCCTTCCAGGCAAAAACCCATGGATGGTGCCGGAATGGATGCTCATGGATCCCAGCCAAAGACCTGTTTGGACACCCGTTTGGATCGCACCTTGAAGTACGTGGAAATCGTTCCACCTATATATCTATAGAATATCACTCCACCTATCTCACGAGGACGCCTTGGCCGGAGAATTTGTCCGTCCACTTCAGTCACTGAACTATACTAGAATCCTGCAGTCGGTTCGGCTGTTTTGGGACCCAGGCATCAGTTGTCACCAGGCAACACCAATCGAACGGTGCTGGTATCAACCTGGTTTTCAAGGAATGCGGGCCCGCTGCATCGGGCGGGCCCGCAAGATCCCCTCCCCTGTGGTGCTACTGACACCCTCCACCACCGCGAAGCTTCGAGGCCTTATTGAAGCTTCGACCCTCGTGGTTTGGTGTAAAATGTTTCAGGGCTGAGTGACTAGAGCTCAGCAGATCTCCCATGCTTCACATCCAATGGCCCACGTAAGGCTGGTGTCCTTCAGGACATGGCCAGTTGTGGCCCTGGTTCATGAAGCCAAACACGAACGAACCCCCATTGCCACTCCCATTGCCACTCCCGCCACGTGCCAACTCCCACGCTTGTCGTTCACCGTGAACACCGTGTCGTTCAGGGGTCCACCACCGTGTCGTTCCCACACCGTGCAGCCGCCAGGTGGTCGTCTACTGTCCAATCCTGTGTGGCTACGCCCATTTCGCGGCCACGTGCCTGAAGATCGTGGACGTGTCCGTGCTGACTCGACCCGGGCCGGGCTTCTTGAACGCTGAGCTGGCCAAAAACAACGAGACGCCCGCAGGCCACCGCACCGGGGGGAGGGTGCTGAGTGAACCGACGGTGCAATCAACAGTAGGCATAATATCATATTGCATGATTAACACGTATTTATTGCCAGCACCCTCCAAGATCTGTTGGAGGGTTCTCGTATATACACATATAATATAGCATCATATAACGCAATATAACTATAGTGCTGCAAATAATATAACTATAGCATATAAAATCATATAACCAAATATAACCATAGCATAATATAATATCATATTCTAAGATTAAAAAAAGACACCGCCAACGAGTGCCTCGGGGTTTTCGATGCAATGCTCACGACCCTTGTGGTTCCTTTTTTTGGTGTAACGACCCAGAAGCATCATTGCTTCTGGTTTTCCTTCAATCATGAGGCTGAAGTAAGTGCATGAACTGGACATTTGCTCCTCATTACAGCATCCTGTTAAGTTATATTATGCAATATATATGTATATATACACCAGATATATTTATATATAGATAGTTACTTAATATAGTACAAGATACAATACAATAGTATTGTAATATATATAATAATATATATAATATAAATGCTATATATTAGTGATATACATGTTGTTTTTTTTAATTCAACATTATGACTAAACCATGAATAGCATGGCCAGTACAATGGATTTAACCTGATTTATATAACCTCTCCCACTCTGATTCGCCAAAGCGAAGCCCAGAAGGTCACCCTGACCTCAATAGGCAAATCGCGAAACGACCTACCACTCGAAGCACCCCGACACCGATGGACGGGCGCTCGCCCGTCCCCACGGTGTGAATCGCGCTTTCGGGGTGACCTGGTGAGGCCTCATTGAGAAGATTCGGGCGAATCTGCCCAATGCCAAGGCGATCGAACAAGTCCGCAGGCTCTTGCAGAAGCCTAACCTTTCTTTGAAGCCGAGTTGAGTTGGGCTCACTCTTTTGGTTAATTTTGGTATGCTATTTGGGGCTGCCCACATGTTCTGAAACGCTGTTCGAACGGTCCCCGTGGTCCCAGGAACAGCTCTGAACCCCTGGTGCACGAGAATTACACGCATTTGAATCTGGTCACAAGCCTGCAATCCTTAGCAGATCCGCTGACCGAGAAGGATGCGTGTGTCTTCTTTGCGCAGGGCAAAAAGTTCGAATTCGTGGGGCCTTTGATGAAGGTCGATCGCAAACAGTCATTCTGTATAGACCAAGATCTAGCGCACGACATTTCACAGGCCATGCGGAACAAGAAAGACATCATTTTGGTCTCCCTGATGCATCCAACTCCAAGTTCTGAGCTGGGCGAGGTGCTTTGTCGGACCATTTGCAAAGCCTGCGGACCTGGGAGCTCCCTCGTTGCAGATCCCTTGGTGATCTTCTCCATCGCGTCCCAGCTCGACTTCGACGACAAAGAGGCGTCCTGGCCCGAGAATTGCCGCACTACAGAGGTGCCTTCTGTGGAGTTGTTGAAGTTGGCGGAACCCACGCTCTTCATCACTCATGGAAGCCAGACGGATTTCATGGAAAGCTTGTCAGTGGGGAGCCCATTGATCATTTGTCCAAGTTCACCTGATCATGCGGAAGAACTCTTGAATGCCTCGCGCGTGCAGCACCTGGGGGTGGGTGAAAAGGTGATCTTCACTGGAGATCTGGTGGCCTACGAGGCCAAAACGACGGTCTCCGGGGGGTTGGCTGCCATGGCTGTCCTTCACGGCCATGGCAGCACAGGCACGAACTCACTTCTGCGCGGTTGATGTCTGACAAAAAGGAGTCTACCTGGACCTTCAAGGGGTGTCCAATGGAGGTCCCTTAGTAGTGTAGGGGCTTCCATTGGTGACCCCTTTGAAGGTGCTGGTATCTAACCTTAATGGCTGTGTCTCCAAGCTCGCTAAAGACCCTGGCAAAAAGAAAAACGAACCGCGAAGACTGCCCTGGAAAGAATACATAATCACATGGTACCACCTACATCACCCCCGGCACCCTCCAGGTTCCAAGTTCAGTTCCTCTTTTCGCAGAGTCCCTGAAACTAAGTAAATCAAGGCATGGCCGCATACGGCCGCATGGCCCTTGTCACCTTTTTCAAAACGTATGCAAAGAAACAAGTGTTACGGTGTTCTTCCTTTTTCAACGGTGTTTTTGCTTGTGAAAAGACACCGTCATCAACGGGGTTTGAAATGTGCTCAAAATCCGACGGGGAAAGACGCCGCTAAGCCTAAAGACACCGTCTGGACGCCTCAAAACCGTCTCTTTATGTTTCTCTTTTGTTCTCACCTTGCTACCACAAAATTTGCCGGTTTCCGCCTTGTCAAACAATGGCTCCGGCCAAGAATCGTGGGTGCCGTTTCAAGATCTCCCAACAACACCCTCTTTCCGCTCATGCTGCTTCGGTCCCCGCTGCAGGCTCAGCTCTGGTGGTCGCTCGAGCAGCTCCTGGGCACCGGCACCCGTCGCAGCTTCCGCCTCAATGCCCAGTTGTTGGCCGAGGAGATCCGTGACTCTGGCGGTACGGACCGCGCCAGCGAGCTGATCCAGGACACGGCGCCGCGCTCGAAGCGCGCCACCGTGCAGTCGCGCATCAGTCGGTGAGCGAGAGCCACGAGCCACCCACCGTGAGGGTGACGGATGACCGAAGCGACCGGGTGGAGCCTTCCGTTCGAAGAGTCGCGGCGTTTTCGGCTGAACACGGCCGCCTTGGGGCTTCATCGGCAGGGTCACGCGTTCGTTCGATGTATTTTTGCCTTTTTTGGGGTCGGGGCATGAGTGCCTTCAGTGCGCCGCGGATCAGCGAAGCTGATGCCGGTCCTTCCAGGATGGGGAGTTTCACCAGATAGCGCCAAAAGGGAGCGGAGAAGGCTGAAGACGAAGGACACTTGAGGCCACCAACAACTCGAAGTTGAGGTCTACCGAGTGCACTGTAAATGAGTGCTGTAATGTATTGTAATGTGACTTCATCGTTTAAGGCCGCTAAAACCCGGGTCCCACTGGAGCGACTTTGGCACTCACTTACAGAGCATCGTGACTTACAGAGCCAGTCCCACTCTACCACTTACCATGAACCCCGGCGCATCCGCAAAACACCTCCGCGGCTGGCCTTGCGAACGGAGCGAGTCCGGACGCTACGAGTCCGACCCTGGCTCCGTTCGTCGCGTCCGATCGCTCCGTTCGACAAAGCGATGCCCTTTGTTCCGTTCGAGTCGCGTCCTTTGATGCCCTTTGATGTGAAACATTTCTCCATCTTTCTCCTACCTAGGACCCTCAAAAGTCCTTAACCTCCGCAACATACGGCCTCAATCATCCCTGAACCCAACAGAAAGACATCCCTGTCCCCCGCCTTTGCTGCTAGCTTACGTTCTTCTCTTGATTCTTTTGGTATACTAGCAACGTCGCCCTGCCAAACCATCCAAAACCATCCAACACCTGCAGGCCCCCCACAATCTGTACCCTTGCAATCAAGCACCCAGCCGCCGCCTCCCCAACCAATGGCACCAGTCGCACCAGTCGCACCGCGCTGGACTTCCGGGCACCGAGATCGACCCCGAGGACCCGAGACCCCGACCCGCGGTGGAACTTGCGCAGAGCGCTCTGCGCAGAGACCGCATCGGAACGCCCGAAGTCGTGAAGCTGCCAGGTATTGGTGTGACATTCCGGTCTTCCACCTCAACGGGCAGTTTTGGGCCAAGCACTTCCTGGAGCCCGAAGACGTGGAGGCGGGTTACGTCCGTGACGGTGATCGGATCCGTCCACACGGTTTGTTTGGTGCGTTCGGCGGTGACACCCAACGAGGGTCTCAGTGAGCTATATCGATTCTGGGGCGCCACGAGTCCTTTTGTTGAAAGGGGGAAGACAGCGAAATCGCTGAGCACAGCGAAATCGCTGGGTCACGCACCTTTGCAGGTTTTCGGACTGGGGATGGGTGAAAAACAGAAAGGCCTGGTGCCATGAAGCACCAGTCCTCCATGAAGGACCGACGCCGTCGACCGGTCGGTGTCCATATGCGTACTTATCCTGGTGCCATGAGCCGCAGCCATATATCGTCCATGAGCCATTATAGTAAAGAACACTCAGCAATCACATTTGGACGGACGTTGCTCAAACAGATTTATAAACAGTTATTTTACTCACACCTTTTGCGTCGCATCACTGGGTCTCTACATCGGCGCCACCGACGACACGTTGGAAAAACCGTCGGCCAGGCCTCGCTGGCTGCAGCGGTCGAAGGGACCTTTGCCCAAAGAGGTGGCCACGGAGCGCGCGGTCGCGGCCAGTGCGGTTCAGAGGGTGCAACATAGATGTCCAAAGAGGGAGACCTGTTCCAGAAGAGCTTGCAGTCTGGTTCTGGTTGTTGTTGTTGTTGTTGTTGTTGTTGTTGTTGTTGGTAGAGACAAACACAGCTGCCCAACATAGTTGTCACATGTTGCAAGTTAGGGATTTCAAAGGGACACTGTTAGGGATAGGGTTGAAGGTTTGGAGAGATGTTAGTAGCTGGACTTCTTGTCGTTGTGGTACTCAAGTCTTGGTTGGTCTGTTTCTTGTTTTTTTGATGTTTTTTGGGATGTTGTTCTGGAGGGGAGGTAAAAAAACAACAACGGGGCTGCAGATTTTGTTTCTAGGGGGGGTAGAGGCAACAACATCTTCTGAGGCGGGGTTCAAAAAAACAACAGCGGGGCTGCAGTTTTTGTCTCTAGGATGTGGTAGAGGTTCTAAGTAGAAGTTTTACAGAGGCTTAGCTGACCGGACCACCACCACCACCACTACTACTACTGCTACTACCACTACCACTAGCACTACTACTACTACTACTACCACTACTACTACTACCACCACTACTACCACTACTACTACTACTACTACGACTACTACTACTACGACTACGACTACGACTACGACTACAACTACGACTACGACTACGACTACGACCACTACAACAACGACTACTACTAGTACTAGAACCACTAGTACAAGCACTACCACTACTGGTAAAAGTACATGTTGGCTGGTTGTTTTCGGGGGGGGGGCAAAATAACAACGACGGGGTTGCAGATTTTGTTTCCACCCCCTTGTAGAGACAAAGGAACAAGATATCTTGTAACGGGGCTGCAGTTTTTGTTTGTACCTTGTTGTTGTTGTTGTTTCTTTTTTTTACAACCATGGTTCCCAAGAGTGCAGTGGGTGACAGTCACGTTCGGCGGCTCTGGAGAGAGTGGTGTTTTTTTTCCGGTGGTGACCACTACTGATATGTTTCGTGGGGCTTGAGGGTGGACCAGATGGGCTCCTTTCGTTGATCTGTTGCGATGCGTAACCCAGGGCACCCAGGCAAACCACTATAGTTGGCTGGTAACCAGTGGTTCCAAAGACTAAACCCATAGACTTAGAATCCCTGGTTCCTTATATATTGGTAACTTGGATGCGCTGGGTAAAACATAGCTGGACCAGGAAGGAGCTGTGCCAAGATCTGCTGAGTGTGGGGACAGGTATATCGAGGGGATTCGAGGGGTATAGCATCATTTGCTTCTGTCAGGATGATAATACTGTTTAGGCAGCTACATTAATTACCTGATCTGATTCAAGACAGAGATGATGACAGTTTCTTCAATCAAAGAGCGGGCTCTCTCTCCGCCTCTCTGTGTTCGTGAGCCGCTCAGGACATATTTCATCAACAGACCCACTTTTTCCTTTATCAAGGTACCGTACCTGCCTAGCAGCCCAAGAACTCATTCACTTTTCCTAATTCAGACACTCAATGCACGGACACTCCCAAAGTAAGCGTAGCGATGCATAGCGCTTACAACGCACCTTGGGAGGACCTTTTCCTGATCATGGGGCGCAACATGTATACCAACATCTTTCAAAGGTCCTTCGAGATCACTGAGCTTCGCACGATCCAAAGTCTCATGTTCCCTCGATTCCTTGATTCCAACGAGGAATATCCGAGTCCAGTCCTTGGGATTGGGAGTTTATGCGGAGTTCGATGACTTCGGAGTGATCGTTTGGAAGTCACGCGCACAAAAGAAGTGTGACATTTTTTTTTCCTCCCCACCACCCGGCACGAATTGAGGTAGTTATAGTCATAGTGGTTTCCACTGCTGGCAACTCACATCAGCTTACCCTATTGTTGGACAAGCCTGGTTGGGATAGCTGGAAGTAACTCGACCTCACCGAGGTTTGTGATGCCCACATGAGACACATGAGTCCGTCAATGCAAGGTACGTTGTCTTTCTATAATAGTCATCATGACATCAACGGTATACGGCATATATATATATATATATACGTATGTATATAAAACATTATGTTTACTCATGAAGTCAACAAGTTTGCCTTTTGAGAGCGAGACTGAACACGTACATGAGGGGGCCGACGGTTGTGAAACCCAATGGTCCTGCGTCGTCTTGGACTCCGCACGCAGATGGCGAGCCAGATAGCCGCCAGGTGCATCAGGGCAGAATGATGGGTGCCGCTCAAGAAATATTGAAACAACTTTATATACACGTATAGATAGATAATTAAATAAATTGATAAATAGATAGATAGATAGGTGTCATCTTCTTTTTGCTTCTCATCATTCTCACCATGTTCTCGCCCATTCTCTGTTTGGGCTTCCAGAAGTCACACCTCGAGCCGATCGATGCCACTTTCTGGGAATGGACACGTCACGTCAATCAACCGATCAGCTCCCGGTGAGGGTCGAAGGTGATGCGCCTGGAATGCGCCTGGCACAGATTAGAGAACGACGCAACTAACACGTACGGATGGGTAGAACGTGCGGATGAACCTCGTGGATTGGGCGTATGGATGTTTCGATTCGAGGCATTCGTCCGTCACATCGTTGAAGCCTCGTGTCGGGTGAAAATGGACCATCCTCAACAACACTCCACAGGCAGCGGCATCCGACTGCTGTGGCGATGACTGCGAGTGTTGCTGGGCGACAAAAAGGGCTTTGGAGGCCGTATAGCAAATAAATAGGTGAGACCTCCCAGGCAACGACCCCTTGGAAGTTTCGGGAACCAAGTCCAGTCTACCCCGCCAGGGCCAGGGGCAGAGAGCCTCTTCCAAAAGGACACTGGTCGCCCAGCGACCCTTGGACTTCGGGTCGAAGAGTTCCACAGCTATGATCCTCCACTCTCTCGGTCCGGGATGGGGGTTGGGCACGTTTCTTTTTTTCTTCGGCCGCCTTGAGTGTCTCTGAAAAGACGATCGAATATCACCAGAACACCGTAACTATTCGGGGCTTCCATTGATAGCCCCCGAAAAGAGGTGATAGAAGGGGTGTCCATCAAGCACCCCGACAGTGGGTCCTGATACATCGACCGTTTTTGTGACCTCTACTTTAGACCACCCACCGCCCAGAATATGTATGTGTTTGTCCTGTCAGTCTCAAAAATAGATCTCCAATGGGTTGCTCTATATAAAACCCCCACGCGCATCCAAGAAGAAGACATACACATCGTACACCAACGACCGAGAATATCCACCGGGAAACGCACCGGAATTGGTCAAGCCTTCCCTTTCCGGGCCATGTTGGGCACACATCCCCAGTCCCGCCACACCTCCTCCGCGTTCGGGTTCCCCGCTGAGGTGACGATTGCCGAAGCCGCTGAGGCTGTCGGGTGAACCGGCGAACGCACCCGGGGCGAGTCGTGGAGAGATGCGGACGCACCAGCTGTTGGATGAGCTGTTGGGCGAGCTGCTGGTGTCTTTTAGGACCAAACAGTTCCGGATCCTTCGATGGAGGTGGGAAAATGAAGCCAACGGGGGAGCGGCTTTCCCGAACAGAAGCCTCGAAGGGACTGAAGAGTAGCTGTGGATTATTGATGTTGCCAATGATTGGAGGTTGAAA